CCACTGAGGAACCTTTGGGGATGTGCCAGAGAGTTGCCCTGGGCATCAGCTCTGAGTTCACACAACTGAGTCCATCACAACTCAGTTCATCACCACTGGTCCATACAACTAGAGCTCTGTCTCCAGAACAGAATCTAGCTAACTAGCTGGCAGAGTAAGCACTGTCTGTTAAAGTTCTATAAGGAACATATAAAGGCCTGAGCTGTCTTTATTTAAGATACTTCCCTGTTTTCAGCCTTGACAAATACTCATTTTCTATGTGCTCATTTAAAAATTCTTTGTTGGAGGAGATTGGGGCAGTTTAGAGATATTTCTTTCTCTAATCTTACATCCACCCAAAGGAAAATATGAAGTGGCAGGAAAGATCAGAGATGAGATCAGGAAAGAGCCATAATTGCCTCCTCACCAGAAGATCAGACTAGAAAGGAAACTGAGGCAGAACAGGCTTAACATTTTCTCTAGAGTGCAGAGAATTGGGGCAGAATGTCTCAGTGAAGCCTGTCACTCAAGTCTTAAGAATAGTCATCAACCTATTGGAAGGGTTCCTGTGATTTAGTAATAGGTGTGTGTATTTTCTAAATATAAACTTTTGCAGTATTTTCTAAATTTACCCTGTAGCTACTATTAAGGTCCACTAGATGGCACTCTAATAATATTACTTTTGCTTAGTAAACCACAGCCGTCAATAAACTAGTCTAAATGTACATATAAACCCAGTGTGGTGGTTGTACGCCTGTAATCCCAGCACTGAGGAGGCTGAGGCAGGAGGATTGTTGTGAGTTTGAGGCCAGCCTGGGCTACATAATGAGTTTTTTTTTTTTTTTTTTTTTTTTTCAGGAATCAAACTCAGGACCTTGCGCTTGCCAGGCAGGTGCTTGTTCCACTGAGCTATATCCCCGGCCCTACATAATGAATTTAAGGCCACTGTGAACTACACAGCAAGACTTTGTCTCAAAAAAAAATCTGTAAAATATGAATATAAGACCTTAACTACAAAATTAAAAGTCTCATCAAAGAAATATGATCTTTCTATGTTCTCAGCTTAAATTTATCATCATTTTAACAAAAGACAAGAGACAAAAAAATGACAAAGAAAATGCTTAAAATTCAAGACATAAGCAATTACAAAAACAAGGGTGACAATTTTATTTTTTTTTTATTTTTTATTTTTGGTTTTTTTGTCCGGTACCGGGAACTGAACTCATGACCTTGCGCTTGTCAGGCAGGCGCTTTGCCGCTGAGCTAAATCCCCAGCCCCAAGGGTGACAATTTTAATTACCTAAGTGAGTTGTAATCCAGAGTTTATGAAACAAATAAACTCTTATCTCTGTCCACTTATCTCACTGGGGCCTCCAAAACTATACAGGGCTGATATCAGAACCTCCAAATATAAGATAAGGAAAATATTGTAACTCTCAACCTATTAGATGACTGATATGCCAAATTTATGTTCTCTAAAACTGAAGAATGAATTCTAGGAACATCAAAGGTGAACAGTAGGAAATACTTATTGAGGGATAGGAAGCTCTTGCCTCAGAGGGACAAGAGGGGGCCCCTGGAAAGTTGGCTGCCTGAGGACCCCATGTCTCAGAGGAAGTTTTATAGAGCACAAGCACATGGGTGCAATGTGGGTTACAGCTATGATCAACCAATAAGATTATAAGTATAGCTGCTTGGGTAATACTGAGCCAGTGGGGAAGCAAGTCACATAGTGATTTTCCGCCATGGAAAGATCAAAGAACTTCTCAGGTAGGTGATGGGTCTTGGTTGCCTGCTGGGGTGACTGATGTCTATCCAGACTTCATTAGGTGAGGTGTGATCACTGATCTCATCCCTTGGGGATTATGTAGGCCTGGTCCTTGTGTTCTTATCTTGAGGCCTGACCTGCAAATGATGCGTCTCTGGCCACAGTTGTAGTGTGCTTTCACCTTTTGTCTTGACTCTCTGGAGGGCACAGTCCTACCTGACTGCCTATAATATTTCTACCTAACTTAGCTGTCTATAACAATCTCACCAGAGACTACCTTCATACACATCCAGAAATAATGCTTAATCTTTTCACACCGAGGCCCATTCAAGTGGAAACATAAAATTAACCATCACAGCTGCTATGAACATTTGTGTACAGAGTTTTGTGTGACAGAGGGCTTGTTTCAGATTTTGGTTATTTTCTCTTCCTTAGCTAGTTTGTTGGTATATGCATGTTTCATTATTACTTATTATATTTATTACTTATGCTGTCAATATTATGTACTGATATATAAAGTTTAGTGAAACTAATTTAAAAGTATACATAGTCTAATATACTCCTGGGAGACTCTAAGAAATTGTTAACTTTGCTTTTGGGAAAGGAATTAGATGGTTAGGGGGAGGGGTGGGGAGCATCTAGGCTGAACTCCTGGGGTCTGGCCAAGCCCTCGGTTGCCTGCTCAAGAGGTGCAGTGAGGGGTAAAGAAAGACAAAGAGAAATTTGCAGGTTCAGGCGGACTGGGAGGTCAGGGCTTCAGATTGGGCAAAAACCAAGACCTGTCTGGTTAACTTGTTTTTATTTAGCAAGGTAAAAGAAGTCATAGGAGTTTGGGACAATTTCTTGGAATAGTGAAAGTGGTCAAAGCAATCTAGTAACAAAGCATCCCCAAAGAATAGGAGCAGGTTAATAGAGAACCTGTTTTTCTCTCTCTCTAGCAAGACTTTTGCTTCTGCTATATTCTTTCAAAGAGCCACGGCATCCCCAGATATTATCTTGCTCTGTGAACGTTCTGGTTCTTTGGTTCTTCCTGCTGTGACTGGGACAAGCAGAGCTTCTGCATAGCTCCCAGCCCACAGGGCAAATCATGCACTGGCCTCAGACCCCTGAACCCCCTTTGTTTCAGATTCTGGTGCCCCAAATGGAATGTTTCCAATTATATAATAATAATAATAATAATAATAATAATAATAAATATATATATTATATATATATATTCCAGCCTATTGCTTTAATGCTCACCAGCAGGCTTCTCTGATCAGGAATGCTTTGGCCCCTTTTCCTGCTCAGCAGCCTCAAGGGCGGAGGGGACCGGGCAGGGTTCTTGTTCACTCATCTTGGTTTGCTGACTCCTCTCATGTGGTTCCTGGCCATGACACAGAGCAGCTTGGATTAGAGGAAAAGCTCCAAGCTCCAGGATGAAAACCACTGTGATTCGTCCTCCTCTGCTCCCCGGAATCCAGTAAGTCACCACGCAGGCCCCACGAGACCTCCAAGGCGGACAGTGTCTGAGCAAGGCTCCTGCTAAGGAAACATGGCTGTGACGCAGTCGCAAGTGGTGGATGGAGGTTGTCTGGCTGGAGGTCAGCCACTCAAAAGCATCAAAGGTATCAACATCCCTGTCTGGGGGCTGCTCCCAGGGAATGATCTGGCCAATGGGAAGAGGAGGGAAATAGCTCTTTGCCTCCAGAATGAGGACAACCACCTTGAGAACTGTCCCACTGTGATCTAGAGGAGAGTGGTATGGAGAGGGTGAGAGAGGTGGAATCTCCATGAGGGCAGTGTGGAGTTGCTCACTTCCAGTGACTCCTGAATAAGTAATTTTCCAGTTTGCAATTGTAGTGGTTGATTATGTCAAGCTTAACTAAATTTGGTTCAACAATTGGCTTAGCAATTCTTCACCCTAGGGTGTAGAGGAGCCACCCTAGGGTGGCTCATCACCTAGGTAATATAAAAGGGAAATGAGGACGGACAGAGGAACTTCCATTCCTTTTGGAGGAGCTCCAGTCTTCACCTTCAGCTTGGACTTAGTCTCCAGGCTTCTAGCGCAGACTCTTTGGCTTCCACCTTGGATCCTTCAGCCTTCCATCAGACTCATCGGCCTCCTGGTACAGACTTGCACGGAACTCTGCAGTGAACTCCAGATCCTGGACTGATTCCTTCAGTCTTCAGTGTGCAGACACCCTCTGCACGCTTCCTCATACAACTCTCTGGCTGACCGTCATAAGCCAATCTTGTAATTTATTATACATTTGTACATCTTGTGTTATATCTGTTTCTCCAATAAACCCTGACTGATACAGCAATCCAGTCCACCTGGTCCTCACATCAAAACTCTGCTTTTTGGGGTGCAGGAGTACAGACCTGTAATCTCTGCTACTTGGGAGGCCAAGGCAGGATGATCACAAGTTTGAGGCCACCTGGGCAACTTAGTGAGAACCTGTCTAAAACCAAAGCATAAAAAGGTCTCAAGATCCAGCTTGGGGCTCTCTGGGTTCAACCCCCAGTATTGGGAAAAAAATAAACAAACCAAAACAAAACACACTTCCAGCCCACAGGGGCCACAGTGGTGATGCTGTGATCCCTCCCCATCCACCTACTCCTTCCTTTTCCAGCACTCGACAGCTGTAAGTGGAAAGGAAGGAGGGAGGGAGAGAAAGAGACTGACTTGGGGTTTGGGTGTCTCCAAACAGCCTCCTCACTACAAGAATTTTGGTTTCCTGTTGGTTTAGAATGAGTGAGTGCTTCTTTTTTTGAGATAGGATCTCTTTCTAGTCCAGGCTGGCCCTGAATTCACTTGTAGCCTCCTGCTTCGGTCTGCTGACTGCTGGGATTATAGGCATGTACCACCACGTCTGGCTGAATGAATGCTTCTGACCCTTGGGGTGGTTTCTTTGCATACCTCTGGCCAAGCAGGCTCATTCTTTTTGAGTGTTGGGGGAATACAAGGCTGCTGGCTCTGAAGCTGGTGGAACCCTCAGCCTGTCCTAGAAACCATCAGTCCTTGGTCTGAGCTGTGAGTTGTTCTCGGAGTTCCTTCTATCTTCTGGAGTGGCTTTGCCCTTTGCCTTCCATCCCTGTGTCCTCCCTTCCCCTACACCCATCTGACCCTGCCTCTTACCTTTTCTCCTTTCTGCCTGAAACTTAGGGATTTTTGCCTGTGCCTGTGACAACGCTTGTCACCAAATCCTCCCCAAATCTACTGACTGAGCTCTGATGGCCCTCCCCTCTAGAAGACTTCTGCACTTGGCGGTCTCCCGGACATGTTCCCGTCTTTGGCTGAAGATAACATTTTCACATATTTGAGTGCTGAGTAGAGTCACAGGGAAAATGAAACTGTTTTTCCCCCTTCTTTGGCAGTGGGATGACATCCAAGGACTTGTACACAGTAGACAAGTGCTCTACCACAGAGCCCTTTCAATTTTTTTTTTTTAATTGGAGACAAAGTCTCACTAAGTTTCCCAGCCTGCCCCACTCACCACTCACGGAACCCAGTGTGGCCCAGGAGGTGCCTGGGCAGTGCGGCCAGAGCTGCTCCCCTGAGCCCACCCAGTTTGTGATTTCTCTGTCTCATTGTCTAGAGCAGCTAGGCTTTGAAGTGTGCCACCACACCCAGGAGGAAAACGAAAGTCCTGAAGGTGATAAAAGGGCAGCGAGCAGTCAGTGCCACATGATACAGCCAGACAGAAGGATGCCTGCCACGGTAAGTCCCCCGAAAGGGTCTGAAAGCTTTTAATTTAAAAGCAGCAACAGCTCTGTTAGGAGAGGTTATGTGTGTTTTCCTTGTTGGTCTGAGGCTCTGGTGCAGAGGGCACAAAGGAACATGCTGAGGTCTGAGGGCCTGGCTGTCTCTGACACGGCGAGGAATGACCCCAGGAGCTGGGCCAAGAGCGCGGACACTTCCCTGCCTCAGTTGCTGCGTGGGCTTTGGTTCCACTGAGACCCAGGAGCAACTTGTCCTGGGTAGGGTGTGTGCTTTGCCAAGCCCTCCTCTGGCCACACGCGCAGTGGCTCCTCTGGGCTACGTGAGGGGCAGCAATAGTCAGCTCGGGGGGGCAGCCCTTGCCCCGCTGCCCGGGCACCTCCTGGGCCACCCTGTGCTCTGTGAATAGTGACAGGGGCAGCTCGGGAGGTCCGGGAAAATGGCTCACAGGAGTGTGGGGTTCGTGGGGGGCCGGCAGAAAGTGTGCCCCACAGGCAGCACGCCCCTCTACTTCTTCCTCCTTTCCTCTCTTCCTCTTTCTGTGCTTTTTCCTTCAGGCTCAATAATACACATTCCTTGCGTGTTGGCTATATCCCAGCACCTTGCTGAAGGCTTTTGTTTAATCGAGCCAGGCTGTTACTCAATAACCTTATGAAGCAGGAGTAACTCTCCTCTCTCCCCGCTGTGCAGCTGCCCCGTGTAGTATGTTTTGGTTAATATCAGAGAAGGGATTGCCCAAGAGGCACAAGGGAGATTGGAAGCATTATCTTTTGCTTTTAAAAGAAGAAAAACTGTTTCTTTAATTGCACAAGGTATGGGAATACATTCATCTTGTTTAACAAACCAAAAGCAAAAGCAAAACTGTTAACATGGAGGACAAAAGCCATTTTGCCGTGCTCTCATAGATAACTTCCCTCTAGACCGCTTGGTGTGTGTTCTGCCAGATGTTTTTTGTGCATTTGGCCTGTGGCTTTGCGTTTTATTGTAGTTTTTGATTGGGTTCCCTGAGTTCGGTTCATCTAGAATATTCTCGGATCTTTTCATTTCTATACCAGCCTATTTGATGTGCTTTAGCCTATGTGCAGCTCTCTCTCTCTCTCTCTCCCTCTCTCTCTCTCTCTCTCTCTCACTCGCTCTCTCTCACTCGCTTGCTCTTGCTCGCTCTCACTCTCTTTTCTTCATTTTTCCTTTGTGCTGTGGTGCTAGGGATTGAAGCCAGGACCTCATACATGCTAATCAAGAGTTCTACCACTGAGTTCTACCCCAACCCAGCAATTAACATTCTTTTTGCTGCTCAAATCTTTGAGCAGGCTGCCCTGATTCTTGCAGTCAAAGGCTTTCCCTTCACCCATTTCTACCCACAGCTTTGCAGTCTGCTTGTACCTGCTCCACTGTCAGCAGTTGCTCAACATCCTGGCCAGCATGGACTGGCCCCGTGTGACCTGGCTTTGCTGAGTTGAAGGTGGGGAATGGTACTGGCTGGCCCTAGAGTGTTCCAGAAATAGAACTCCTGTGGCAAAAGCAACATGCAGCTGCTCGTGCAAAGACCAGAAGAGAATCACCTCATCACGAACCCCAACCATTTCCTATCATTTTTGCCCTGCTTTTGGTCTAGAACCTACCCTGAAGCTTCCCAGGATTTCCTCGGATTATTAAGGGCTTGAACGTTGGGCATGTCACATCAGGGGAGGGGTGTAAGCCACACCAGGGCTCTGTTGTAACACTCAGCTACTGGGATCATAAACTGTCAGTTTCAGTAGTGAATTAAAGAGGCAGAGTTTAAAATAACAGAAGATGGTTTATTCGGACAAAGATGGAGAAAAAAAGAGAAACAGCTACTCTGGGGGAGTAGGGAGCGTCAGACGTGAATACCCATGGGTTTTTGTCCTCAGTTCCTTTTTATTTAGGACTAGTGATTTCTCACAACTCCCGTTCGGGCCCCTGGAAGATGTCACCATCTAACTGGTTCTCTGGCAATCTTCGATCCTAACCTGAGTACCTCCATCTACATTCTTTCTGCCCACGCTTTGCAGTGGATAACAGGGCTTATAGAAAGGTAGCTTAGAGTTAATGACCAAGCGAAGGGCACTTGTGCATATCTGGTGCGGCTATAGTGATGCTAAAGTGAGAGTGGACATATAAGTATATACATATAAGTGCGTGTGTTTTATATATTAAATGAGAGTCCTTAGGTGGCTGCCTCCTTATCTCCTTTGCATTTTGTCAGAGGTGGATGAGGGGCTGCGTTCCCTGGTCTTTCAGGTTTCTGGCTTTTGTCTTGCTTTTTTTCTTTTTGATAAATTTTCCATAAAGGTAACTGTGCTATCTGGCACCTCTCTGGGCTCCCTCCCTCCCTCTCTCTCTCTTCCTCCCTCTCTTGTCTTTCTAATTGCTCTAACTGTAGAGTCTACCTGTAGAGGCAGAAGCAGCCCCCAGTAAGATTTTGCATTAGTTTTTAATCCAGCTTATCTTTTCCCTGTCTAGAAGACGCCTTTCTCTACAGAAACATTCAGGTTTCCATCTTGTTCGTCTATTCTCTAGGTAACTTACTGAACCTTCCTGAGACTCAGTGTTCTCATCTGTTAAGGGGCTAATGATAGTTCTGACTCCAAGGGGACATGAAGTTGGGCCACGTGTTCAGCAGTGTTGGCACACTGGGCTTCGCAAGTTGAAGCTTTGTGACAACCAAGAATCATTCAGGCCCAGAGACATGCAAAGTGGCCCTTAATGCGGTATTTAGACCTCCTTGGGAATCTTAGAGTCACTTGCTGACAGAGACGTGCCTCGCGTGTGAACCGTGCTCTCAACCTGGCTTGCCCGCATCATCCCACCGAGCTCCTGTGCCACACCCCCAACCACAGTCCCTCAGAGACGCTCTCTCCGTCTGCTCCTTGTTCCCTGAGCACCTTTCCAGTTCAACAACCCTAGTAAATTGAGAGATTTCCTGCCTGTGTGAGAACTTCTCCTCCGTTTCCTGGAAAGTGATGAACAGTCAGAGCCTGTAGGTAGCCTGGGGATCCTTGCAAGTCAGGTTCCAGAATATTCCCTGCAAAAGCTAATCTCCACCCATTTCTGGTTTTTCTGTTGCAGTCCAGTCCAAGACTTGGAGACCTGATCGAGATTGATCGCACTGGCTACGCTCACTGGGCTATCTATGTGGGAAACGACTATGTGGTTCATCTGGCTCCCCCAAGTAAAGATGGGTTCTCTTTTTAAACACAGGGCTTGAGACTGAGAATGTGAACAGAGGCAGAGTTATGCGCTGGCCCTGGCTCTGCCTGGCCATGAAGGCACTCAGTAAATATTAACTGAATGAATCATGTTCTTCCCTGATGGGGTGTGAACTGCTATTCCTATCAGTAATTTGAGGAAGAAACTACTGAGCTGTATTCCACTAAACGATGGGGTTCAGCCCAGACCAATCCACTATAGTTGACTAGCATTCCACCATAGGTCCAGTACCCTATGGTGTATGTTTATTGTTCTGGAGACACAAACAATAGTAAGAAGCAGTTCCTGCCTTCAAACATTTGAACCGGATATAAAGTGTAGTGAAGAAATGTGGACCTCCACATTTGAAAGAATCAGTCTGGAATCCTAGGTCCTTTGCTCACCGACTGTGGGACTTGACCGTGTGGCTTTTCCTTACTAAATCGAACAGTACCCCGTGAAGCACAGGGGTCAGTATACTGATCTTTCAGGTTGGAGAAGGCCATGAAGGAAGTGCAGGAGGAAAGTGCCCCAGGGCCGAAGCAAACTCCTTTGGTTTGAAGCATCATGGTAGTAAAACCAAAGCTGAAACACTGGGAACTTCTCAAGTGCGCAATAGCAAGAGTTAGTGAAATCAAATAGACAGACACTCCTTGCATATAACGGGATACTACATGGCCATTAAAAGAAGTAGGATGGCAAATGTGCAGTTAGAGAAAGGAAGCGTGCTTCTCCCTGTTGTGATGGCCTTAAGTAGGCTGCTGTGTGAACGCCCATGTTTATAGCTGACTGGCTAGGGAAAAATAAATTCTCTATTAACTTGAGGAAGCACAACTTTGTTTCTCGGTGGAGGTAGCCTTTCCAGGAAATCAGCACACTTGCAAGTTTGGCTGTGGGTTTTGTATTGAAACTGTGGCTTTTACTTCCTTTCTGTTTAGTGATTCTCTGCTGGTGTTCTCCCAATTAGATCAACAACCTGGTCATTACCCAATGGACAAACATTACCCCGGTCACCAGGAGATTTTCGTGTCCAGCTGATTGCAAAACAGGATCAGAACTGTCAGACACTTCCAACTATTGGAGCTAATGTAGTTTTATTGATTAATTCTTATAGGCACTGTCTGATGATTGAGTAGAAGTCTCTTGAGAATATGCAACATCTAAGGAACATTCTTCCATGTGATGAATAGAAATACTCTTTCAAAGATATCCCAAGGCTGAGGTGTCCAGGAGCTGACATTTAGGCAGCTACCTAAATAAATTACTGACTGTATCTCTTTGATTACATGAAATATCTGGATTCCATCCTTTAGGTCTTTAAGATTCTGGACTACCAGTCCTCATTTATTGCCCTAGAAGGAGTATTTTTCTCTGAGAAGACCACAGGCTCCTTCCTGCAGAGAAGTTAGGGTATCAAGAACTCTTCTGCTATGTACTACTGTTGAAAGCTAAACTGCTTATGTCTGATCACGTATTTTTTTCCTCTTTTTTCTTTCTCCCTTCCCTCTTATTTTTTTTTGGTACAGG